GAGGGCATTGGTGCGAGGAGGAGGAGGAGGAGGAGGCGAGAATGAGGAATAGTAATGTGGATGAGCATGACGAGGAGGCCTCTCGATGGCTTCTTGAAGCATTGTGGGGCCAAACTTGGTCGTGGAGAAGGTGCCTCCGTGGGGCCTCTTGGGGTCCTCTTCGAATCTTCTTGGGAGCCTCTGGGGGCCTCTTGGGGCCTCTTGAGGGCCTTTTGGGGGCCTCCGTGGGCCTCTTGAAGGCGTGTTGGCGGCCTCTTGGAGCCTCCCGGGGAACTCTCTGGGCCAAAAGCTCGAAATGTCCGTTCGGGTGCCCCGTCTGGGCTCGCTTTTAGAGCCGTCTCGGAGGCGTCTTGGGCCATCTTAGAGGTCTCTGGGATTGTCTTGGGGCCCTCTTGGGCCCACTTGGGCTTATCTTGGTGGCTCGTTGGGCCGTCTTGGGGCGATCTTTGGGGCCTCTTGGGCACGTTTGGACGCTGTGAACCCCAGACGTCGTATATGCGACAAATGTACGTTTTCCCCCATGGAATGGGATGATTTTTGCTTGTTGTAGCCCTCTGGGAGAGCCTCTTGGGCTCTCTTGGGGCTTCTCGGCGGCCTCGAGGGCCGTATGAAGGCCATCTTGGGCGTCTTGTACCGCTCGTTCGGTGACTCGGAGCGCTTTTGGGCTGTCTTAGAGGCCTCTTGGGGCCCTCTTGGCGCGCCTTGGGGCCTCAGAGACCGCACCCAGGAGGAAAACCATCTCTGAGTAAAGGGTGGCCGGGCTGCGCCTGGGCGGCGGTCGGGGTACTTTTCGCCGGGGGACCCCCAGGGGCCGCCCCGCGCGCGCGAACTAGAAATATTGTTAACCAGTTACCGGAGATCTTAGCACGCCTCTGGCCCGTTAGGCCCGCGAATTGTCTTCTTGGTGCTGGATGTTTGGAGTCACCGTCGGTGTTGCCGAGTTCTGAACGCAGCACTTTCCCGTTCCGGCTCATACGTTTTTGGTGTGAATTCGTATCGACGGTCCCATATTTTCTTTCCTCTCCTCGTCTCCTCCTCCTACTTCTTCCCGGAAGCCTCCCCCTCGTGTCGGCTTCGTCTCATTGTATTTCCTCCCTGTTCCTCTGCCTCCCCCTGCATGTGTGGTCTTGGATCCGAGTAGCAGTAGAAAGCAGTGCGCAGCAGTAGAAGCGGAACAGGGTGCCTCGCGCGCCGTCTTTTTGGCTCAAGCTCCCCACGCTTAGGGGCGAGGGGTGCGTGTATTGACAGCAGCAGAGTCCTGAAAACAATTAGCCTGGCGAAGGACCCAACCATATGCAGTTTTGAGTACCGCAGCTGTGACTGCCGTCTTTGGTGGAGCTCCCTACGGGGCCACGACACGTGTGAAGGGTGTGCTGAATCGGGCGCGGGGCTACCGTGCGGACCCTGCCGCTGAGGCCTTCGGTGGAGCTCCCTATGGGGCCGCGAAACGTGCGAGGGGCGTGCCGAATCGGGTGCGGGGCCGCCATGCGGACCTTGCCGATGAGGCCTTCGGTGGAGCTCCCTATGGAGCCACGAAGCGTGTGAGGGGTGTACCGACATGGACGTGCTGAGGGCAGAGGCAGGGATGGGATAAGGGATAATGGGGAGGAGGGTCGAGGAGGAGAAGGAGAAACGCGGGGCGCTGTCTCTTCAAAACGAGAATGCAACACCACAGGATGGCTGGGAAAAAGCTGTTCCTCCATGGGCGCTGTGAGCTGCGCAAGTGGTGCCACTTCCGTGGGCTTCTGGGAGGTTCAGTTGAGGCGGTTGTCAGGCGAGACCTCGCGGCTCCTTGGGAGGATGGCAGCTGCACAATTGGCGTCATTTTCGTGGGCTCCTGGGAGGTCCAGCGGAGGCGTTTGCCAGGCGAGACTTCGTGGCTCCCTGGGAGGTGCCAGCTGCGCAATTGTCGTCACCTTCGTGGGCTCCTGAGAGGTCCAGCGGAGGTGGTTGTCGGCCGAGACTTCGCGGCTCGCTGCGAGGCTGCCAACTCCAACTGCGCAATTGTCGCCTCTCTCGTAGGCTCCTGGGAGGTCCAGCGGAGGTGGTTGTTAGCCGAGACCTCGCAGTTCCCTGTGGGGGGGCGCCAATTCCACAATTGTCACCATTTTGGCGGGCTCCCAGGAGGTCCATCGGAGGCGGTTGTCAGGCGAGACCTCGCGGCTCCCTAGGAGTTTCCAGTTGCGCAATTGTGGTCATTTTCGTGGGTTCCGTCAGGCGAGACCTCGCGGCTCCAGGCTGCCAACTCCAACTGCGCAATTGGCGTCGCTCTCGCGGGCTCCTGGGAGGTCCAGCGGAGACGGTTTGCAGACGAGACCTCGCGGCTCCTTGGAAGGCTGCCAACTCCAAGTGCGCAATGTTCGCCACGCTCGTGGGCTCCTGGGAGGCTGCGACATTGGCGCGTATAGGGACCGCATTCCAGGACCACCTCTTGCGCACTCCCTCTGGTGTCGAGAAACTGCTACGCTTGCTAGGCCTTGCGACATTGCCGCGTATAGAGACCGCGGTGAGAGACCACCCTTTGCCCACCCATTTCGGCGTCGAGAAAGTGCCACGCCTGCTAGGCCCTGCGGCATTAGCGCGTATAGAGACCGCGGTGAGAGACCACCCCTGCTTACCCACTGTGACGGACGTCGAGAAAGTGCCACGCCTGCTAGGCTTTGCGGCGTTGGCGCGTATAGAGACCGCGGTGAGTGACCACCCCCTGCGCCCCCCTTCTGACGTCGAGAACGTGCCACGCCTGCTAGGCCCTGCGACATTGGCGCGTACAGGGGCCGCGGTGATCGACCACCCCTTGGACGGACAGAGACCGCGGTGAGTGACCACCCATTGCGGACCCCCTATGGTGTCGAGAAAGTGCCACGCCTGCTAGGCCCTTGCGACATTGGCGCGTGTAGAAACCGCGGTGAGAGCCCACCCCCCGCGCACCCCCTCTGGTTTCGAGAAAGTACCACGCCTTCCACAACCCCCTACGCACCCCCTTTGGTATGGAGAAAGTGCCACGCCTGCCACGCCCCGCCACCCTGGGACGGATAGAGACCGCGGTGAGGGACCACCCCCTGCACACCCCTTGTGGTGTGGAGAGAGTGCCACGCTTGCCACGTCCTGCGAGCTTGGGACGGATAGAGGCCGCGGTGAGGGACCACCCCCTGCGCACCCCCTGCGGTGTGGAGAAAGTGCCACGCCTGCCACTCCGTGCGACCTTGAGACGGATAGAGACCACGGTGAGGGACCACCCCCTGCGCACCCTCCATGGTGCCGAGAAAGTGCCACGCTTGCCACGCCTTGTGACCGTGAGACAGCCACGGCGGTTTTGTGAGTGCGAGCGAGACGGAGAAGCACAAGGGTGGGGAGGAGGAGGAGGAGGAGGAGGAGGAGGAGGAGAAGGAGGAGGAGGAGGAGGAGGGGGAGGAGGAGGAGGAAGGGGGATGATGATGATGATGATGAGGAGGAAGAGGAGGAGGAGGAGGAGGAGGAGGAGGAGGAGGAGGGGGAGGAGGAGGAGGAGGAGAAGAAACGCGGGTGCGACGCGGCAGGGAAGAACACCATAATCCTACGAAACATGTGGTGGATGTACCAGGGCTTCACGGATTGAGGGCGGGTCGTTTTCAAAATGTGCTTCTCGCCTTAGCGCGGCGCACATTCGATTCAAATATTTGCAAGGGCTTCACGGATTGAGGGCGGTTCTTTTTTCAAAATGCGGTTACCGTCTTATCGCGGCGCACATTCGTTTTTGAACATTTGCCAAAGTTTCACGGATTGAGGGCGGTTGCTTTTCAAAATGTGGTTATCGCCCTAGCGCGGTGCACACTCGCGCTAAACATTGCAACAGTTTCACGGATTGAGGGCGGGTCGTTTTCAAAATGTGATTTTCGTTTGAGCGCCGCGCACATTCGTTTTAATATTCCCGTGAGTTCCACGGATTCCCATCACCAACGTACCAGGACTTGTATTTGGAAGGATTCAGGGTTATCCGGGCGCAACAGTTACGTTGATTCTCTGTGTTGAAGTCCTACAAGCCTCGTCAAAAATAAACAGAAACGCAGTTGGAAATCACGACGATCGATCTTCTCGGGCACTTGTTAGAAATTGCGTTCTTCAATGCTGCGGAGGGGTCGTCGGATTTTTGAAGCCCTTGCGTCCACGTCAGATATCTAGCGTCAGCATTGGAGTAGCGCTGACCATACAATCACCGAAAACAGAATCCCTCAGTTTATTTTTGACGAGGGTTGTAGGAATGGCGTTCTGGCACCATTCCAGATCGTCAATACGCCACAGTCAGGTTAATCCGTGGAGTTGGAATCCCGAGAACAATGTTTTGGCATGCTTCAGGGTCTTCAAACGGGTGTCTTCCAACGAGGCAGTTCCATCAATGAAAATGAACCGCTGTAGGGGACCATGAAGAGGGAGCTTGGATGGAGGGTTCACTCCAACATCGTTGATGACTCTTGGGTTTACACTGGTCCTCCTCCTCCTCCTCCTCCTCCTCCTCTCCTCCTCCTCCCTCTCCTCTCCTCTCCACCTCCCTTCCCTCCTCCTCATCTTCATCATCATCATCATCATTCATCATCATCATCATCATCATCATCATCATTCATCTCCTCCGCCTCCTCCCTCCTCCTCTCTCCCATCCCTCCTCGTCCTCCTCTCTCCTCCTCCTCCTCTCTCTCCCCCTCCTCCTCCCTCCCTCCTCCTCCTCCTTCTCCTCCTCTCCCCTCCCTCTCCTCCTCCTCCTCCTCCTCCTCTCCTCCTCCTCTCACCTCCTCCCCCTCCTCCTCCTCCTCCTCCTTCTCCTCCTCCTGTCTCCTCCTCCTCCTCCTCCTCCTCCTCCTCCTTCTCCTTCTCCTCCTCTTCCTCCTCTTCTCCTCCTCCTCCACGTCCTCCTCCTCCTCCTCATATTCCTCCTTCTCCTCCTCCTCCTCCTCCTCCTCCTCCTCCTCCTCCTTGTCCTTCTCTTTCTCCCGCCCCTGCCCCCGGCGCCTGGCACTGCCTCGTCCGAGGCCCCGACAACGGCGCCGGCGCAAGGAGAGGGAGCCCCGGGCGCTCCGAAGCCGCGCCCTGGCCGGCGGGGGGTAATGGATGGAGGGATCTGGCCGCTCCCGTCCTGCGGTGTGGGCTGTGCGAGACCTCTCTGACAGAGTGTTTGGCACAGTCTTTGGCCCTATTCGCCAGTGCCTGGGTCAAAAACCTCCCTGAAAGTCTCTCCGAGGGAGCCCCACTCTGCCGCCGGCCCACCCCCTGGCTTCAAGGTCGGGAACTCCACGGGGACGACCCAAGAGCGCCCCAAGCCGGTCCTAGCGAGTTCCGCACAGTTCAAGAGAGCCTCCAGACGGTTCCAGATCGCTGCAAGACGCCAAAGATTACCTCCAGACGGCCCAAGACGCCTCCAAGACGCCCCAAGAGGCCTCCAAGAGCACCCCCAAGAGAGCCCCAACATGCAACAATTATTGTTTTTTCAATTGTTTTTGAAGGATTTTCGCGTTCTCGGCTTACCCACGCTCCAAGACGGCCCAAGAGGCCCCAAAGATCGCCCCAAGACGGCCCAAGAGGCCCCCAAGGGGGCTCCAAGGCGGCCCAGGAGGGCACCAAGACGGCCCAAGAGGCCCCCGGGACGGCCCAAGAGGGCCCCAGGACGGCCCCAAGAGAGGGCCCACACGGGGAAGAAAGAGGAGAGGAGAGGAGAGGAGGGCGGGCAGGACGGAGGAGGGACAGGCACGACGGATCCGTTGGTCCGCCAGGTGCGAGCGCCCCTTTCCTCTTCGTCCGTCCTCTTCCCAGTCAAACCATAACGGCTGCTCCGAGGCCGTGCGAAAAAACGATCGCGAAAACGCGGACGCGACGGCAGTGGCGGATTGCTTTTCAAGATGGGCAGGAAGGGGGAGAAAGAGGAGGAGGAGGAGGAGGAGGAGGAGGAGGAGGAGGAGGAGGAGGAGGAGTTGGAGGAGAACGAGGAGGAGAAGCAGGAGGAGCAAAAGTATAATAGCCCATGTTTTGATCAGTGGAGGAAGAGCAGCAGCAGCCGAATAAACCATATGATAGGAGGAGTAGGAGGAGGAGGAGGAGGAGGAGGAGGAGGAGGAGGGGGAGGAGGAGGAGGGGGAGGGGGAGGAGGAGGAGGAGGAGGAGGAGGAGGAGGAGGATCAGCAGCACCACGAATGGAGGAGGAGGAGGAGGAGGAGCAGCAGCCGCAGGAGCAGGAATGTAAGGAACAAGAGGAGGCGCAGCAGCCAGTAGAAAGGAGGAAGCAAGCAGCGCATGATGAGGAGGAGGAGGAGGAGGAAGAACGGAATGGAGGAGGAGAAGGAGCAGCAACAGCAGCAAAGGCTGGCAAGGTGAAGAACAACGGACGGAGCATGAGGAAGGGAGTGCGAGAATGAGGGGAGGAGGAAAGAGGAAGCAGGAGGACCATGGGGACAACCTGTTTCTGCTCCCAAAGTGGGCCCACAGGGATCTCGGTCCGCCCCCAGGGGTTGTTGCTTCATCCTGTGTTTTGTTTCACTGTCGCTGGGCCCGAGACTTGCTCTTGGAGGCCGAAGACAAACACATAGAACTGTCTCGATTAATTTCTTTGCGGCTCCAGGTTATGGAGGTCCAGACGTCCCTAGGGGCTCCCGCAGGGTCCCTGAGGCTTCGGATGTATCCAAGCAGAGGCTTGTGGAGGTCAGGCGGGCGGCAACGGGGCGGCAATAAACGTGGGGGGATCGAGGATTGCAGGAAGGTGGCGGTACAGGGGCCCTAAACAGCCCATAGACTGCCGCCGCGGGCCCCAAAAATACACGAAGGGCGCCTGCTTCGTCGCCCCACTTGTATTGCCCCCCTTCTAGCGAACACCCGAAGAGGCTCAGAGAAATGCTCAGACGCTCTGGCCTCCCCCCTCATACTTTGCGACGACGTCATCTTGTTCACGGCACCACCCCCAGACCTCTTGACGCCCGCACAGGCCAGGGTCCAGCTTTTTATCATTTTTTGGGGCGGCCCCAGGACCCGGAAACAATTCCTGGACCCCGAGAATTGTTCGGGCGGGTGGTAATGGGGTGTGATTAAATAGGGATGAAGAGAAAGGCTTTGGAGGGGCATTTCAGAACCTTCTTCTTCACCCCCCCTTTGGGCTGCCCCCCATTACGGCCGCCCGAATTATGAAAATTTGTCGCCACTACTGGTTCAAGGCGTTGGGGGCGAGGGGCCTTCCTCCGCCATCCTTCCCCCATCCTCCCTCGAGGAGGTGCCCCAGCCCGACATCGTACTGATCAAGATGCCTGTGGCCCATGCCATTCTTGCGGCGGGATACACACTGAGGTCCTCGAGGCTTCCAGGAGCATCTGACGGCACCGAAAGAATCAAGAGCATCTCAGACCTTCCTTCCTCTCGGCAACGACCCCGACAATCCCGACGCCGACGACGACGACGACGACGACGACGACCCGACGACCCGACGACAGTCCCGACGACGATCCCGACGCCGCCGCCGCCCGCCGCCGCTGCCGCCCGCCGCCGCCGCCGCCAACGACGACGACGACGACGACGGCTCCACTGGGATGCGTTCTGGGCAGCATACCGAGGTGAACCCAGCGGTAGCCACGAGGAGCCTCCCGGAAATCTTAGAACGACCAGGACACGCTCCAAAACCCAGTTTCCTGATCAGATGCCCGCTCTTGGGACTTTCCGGGAGCCGTTCGTTCCACTCGCGCACCGATGCTTCAACTTAACACAAAGGAAGTTGAGTCCGCTGCCAGGCGGCGGTGCCGGGCGCCGGGCGCGGGGCCTGAACCAGTGCTAGCCCAGGCAGTCCGAGAGGCGGGCCCTCGCTGGGCGCGCCAGCGTTTCTATGGCAGCTGGCGCGTCGCGGCCGTCGACATCGACGTCGACGTTTGTCGTTGTCGTCCTTCGACGTCATCGTCTCTCGTCGCCATCGTGACCCTCCATAGGAGGGCGGCCGCGGCCGCGGCGGCTCCCCACCGCCGCGCTCGCCGCCAGCGCGGTCGCCACCGCGGTCGGCGGCTGGATCGCCCCCGCGCTCGCCAGGGCCGGGGTCGCCGCAGAGGCTGGGCGCGGTTGTGCGTCGTCGTCGTCGTCGTCGTCGCCGGCGTCGGCGGCGGCGGCGGTGTCGGCGTCGTCGCCGGCGTCGGCGGCGTCGGCGTCGGCGTCATCCTCGTCCTCTTCCTCGTCCTCGTCCTCTTCGTCGGCGGCGGCGTCGTCGGGATCGTCGTCGGCGTTGGCGTCGTCGTCGTCGTCGTCGTCGCCGTCGTTCTCGTCGTCGTCGGCGGCGGCGGCGGCGCCAGGATCGCCGTCGGGATCGTCGTCGGGATCGTCGTGGGGGTCGTGGTCGTCGTCGCCGTCGCCGTCGCCGTCGTTCTCGTCGTCTTCGTCGGCGGCGGCGCTAGTATCGCCGTCGGGATCGTCGTCGGGGTCGTCGTCGTCGTCGCCGTCGTCGTCGTCGTCGTCGTTGTTGTCGTCTTCGGCGGCGGCGGCGGCAGGGTCGTCGGGGTCGCCGCCGCGGTCGGCGTTGGTCGTCTCCGCGCTCGCCAGGGCTGGGGTCGCTGCAAAGTCCGGGCGAGGCCGGGAGGGAGGTGGGGAGGGTGGTGGGACCCTGAGATTTTGGCGTCTCAGCCGTTTCGAGTCGGGCGTCGTCGCTTGGATTCTGGCCTCGGTACCCTCACAGATCGATTCGGCTCGAAAAATTGCGCAGAAAGATGGGGTTTGGGGCTCTGGCCGTGATTCTGTTTGCACGGTGTTGCAATATTTTCGCTGCGTCAGATCTCCAGGAAGGACCTGCAACCCAGAGTCACTCTTGCGTGTCGCCGAGTTGGGGAGGAAGACGAGGAGGACCAGAGTAAACCCAAAACGCATCAACGATGATGCAATTATACCCTGCCTCCACGTTCCTTCTTCTAGGGTTCCTACATTTTTCCACTGCCAGACATGCTCCGTGAGAAGACAACTGTCGTAGAATCCCCAAACGTGCCAAAACACCATTATTGAGATTCCAACGCTGTGAATCAACGTTCCTGTTGCGTCCTGACGATCCTGCATTGCACCAGAACACCATTCCTGAGATTACAGCACCGCGAATCATCGTGCCTGTTGCGCCCTGACGATGCTGAATCATGCCAGGACACCATTCCCGAGACGTCAACAATAAGAATGTTTGAAACTGTCGGGAAGTTTTAAGACGAATGCGCGCGGCGCTGAGGCGAGAGCCACATTTTGAAAACCACCCGCGCTGCACCCTTGACACTGTCGCAACTTTGTAGGACGAATGCACGCGGCGCTAGGGCGAGAGCCGCATTTTGAAAACCACCCGCCTTGCATCTTTGAAACGGTTGTAACCGTTTAGACGAATGTGCGCTGTGCTGAGGCGAGGGCCACATTTCGACAATGAACCGCCCTCCATCGGTGAAGCTCCTGCAAACGCTAAGACGAATGTGCGCGGTATGCTGGCGAGGACTTCGTTTTGAAAATGACCCGCCCTCCTTCCGCGAAGCTCTGAACGCTTTCAAGACGAATGTGCGAGGCACTCAGGCGAGAGCCACATGTTGAAAACGACCCACCCTCCGTCCGTGAAACTGCTGCAAACTTCTACAACGAATGCGCGCGGCGCTGAGGCAGGAACCACAGATCGAAAAGGAGCCGCCCTCCATCAGTGAATAACTTGCAATTTCTTAAGCCTAAGGATCGTCAGTGGTGAGGAAGTCCCAGGCGAAACGCCCGGCGCGCCCTATCGACATGATCGGGGTGCGACAGGGAAGTGTCATCTTCGAGGAAATGCATTGAGGAGGAGGAGGAAAAGGAGGAGGAGGAGGAAGGCAGGAGGAGGAAGGCAGGAGGAGGACGCGTGGTAAGGCTTGGAGGTTACGCGCAGACAGTCCCCCGAGGTAGCCCAGGGCTGTCTGAACACCCAGGGGCCGCCTGCAGCGAGGGCCCGTTTGGCCCCAGACTACTCGGGGGGCTTGTTAGCATCAGCCAGGGCTACCTCGGGTTGGCTGCCAGCGCGCAACCCGAAGCCTTGCCGAGGAGGAGGAGGAGGAGGAGGAGGAGGAAAACCACCTGGAAGCCCAAGACGCATCAGCGATGTTGCAATACTCCCTCCCTTTAAGCTCCTTCTGGGAGTCTTTAGAAGAATTGATTGTCATCGCTGGTAGCGCCCAGTTGGAAGTCAACATTCCGAGAATCCTCAATCGCGCCAAAATACAGTTCATGGGACAGCATCGCCGCGAATCAACGTGGCAATGGCTTGCATGCTGACAATCCTAAACCGCCCGTGAACAACACTCCACGGATTTCGGCCATAACAGTTCTTGGAATTGTCGCAAACTCTTAAGACACATGCACGCGGCGCTCAGGCGAGAACATCATTTTGACAAGGAAATGCCCTCCACCTGTGAAACTGTTGCAAATCTAAAACGAATGCGCGTGGCGCTAAGACGAGAGCCGCATGTTGAGAATCACCCGCCCTCCATATGTGAAGCTCTTGCAGACGTGTAAGGCGAATGCGCGCGGCGCTAAGGCGAGAGCCACATGTTGAAAAAGAACCGCCCTTCATCCGGAAAGTTGATGCAAACTTTTGAGACGAATGTGCGCGGCGCTACGGCGGCAGCGAGAGCCACAATGTGATAGCCACCTGCTCCCCATCCGTGCAATCCCCATCCGTGAAAGTGTGGCGAATTTTCAAGACGAATGTACGCGGCGCCAACGCGAGAGCCACATGTTGAAAACGGGCCTCTCTCCATTTGTAAATTGCTGCAAATTCAAGTTGCCAAATCATAAGCGGACTCATGCGAAACGCCCGGCATGCCCTGGTGGCATATCTAAGGGTGCGATACAGAGGCGCTACTTCTTAAGGAAGAGACATGGAGGAGACCGCGTGAACAGGAGAGAAATGGGCGTGAATGAGCCCCTCGGCAGATCCTAGGCTTACCATCCATTGCCCGAACGGTCCCGCGTTCCGCGGAGGCCTCCGACACACCCTTCCACCCGAAACGTCAAGCGTGCGATCTATCTCCAGTTGCTCGGGAACAGGGCGCTCCCCCCAGAGGTTCTGACACCCGAATTGCCTCACAGGTCACCAGAAGCTCATTACTGGGATGCGTTGCCCTGAGGCCTTTCTTCCAAAAGAGTGCCGGTCTTGAGCATGCAGAATTGGCCGTCTGTTCGAATGCCCAAGCCACGCGCGTGTTTCTTTCTCTCTCGGCGCTGGCATGAGAGACTGGCGTCCTGAGAGGGAGAGGCCCTGGAGACCACCCCGAGGCCGGCTCCTCACCCTGGGCCGTGGCTTGACGGGCCCTGCGTCCCAGGGAGGGGCCGCCGAGGAAGCCCCGAGGACGGCGAGAGACAATGGGGCATCTCTTCCTCGGGGGTCACTCCTGTTTCCTCCGCGGCGGCAGCACAGCACTCGAGCATCTTCTCGCTGCATGCTAACCGGAGTTCTCACAGGCCCGCGCGGACCTCCGAGGTTTGTGCGAATTTGTTGTTCCTCTGCCCCCAGGGGGTCCCTGGACGTCTCCGCAGCTCCCCGTGTGAGGGGCTCCGCGGGTCCCCAGAAGTCTCCCCGCGGGGCTTCCGGAGGCCCAACAAGTAGCCATAAGGCCCCCGAACAGGTGGCCAAAGTGAAATTCCTCGAGTCTTGAAATATTGATTCTCGGATTCTCGAGGTCGTGCGCACTTGGTGCCGCAATCCAGGCCGCCAAGATGGAGTCGGAGGATCGCGCCGCATTGCCGATGCATTGCCGATGCATCGGCGATGCATCGTTGCCGTCGCCGTTGAGAGAAATCGAGCTCCACATCGAGCCCGACTTTGCATCAGACATCACCGATGCGTCGCCGATGCATCGGCGATGCTATGCGATCCTCCGACCAAATCTGCAGTCGGGTCTGATTAGCAGATCGACCCTGAAAAACCAAGGGCATGATTGTGCCTTACCTATCGCGTATCGTGCCCTCTCCCTGTATGAAGCATGGGCTGCCCGCGCCAGAGACGTGTGCCCTCTCGGGGTGTCCTCCGCAATCCGGGAGGGAAAAGAGAGTATCAAATGCACGCCGCCGTTGATAACCTGTCAGCGTATTCGTCCATCGTTTTTTCTGAAGGTTTGGTGTCTCTCCGACAGTGACACGCCGATGAGTTTCCCACGGCGCCGTGCCATTGATCTTGCTGTTGCTTCCCCAGTATCCAGCACCCGATCGCACTCTGGCCCCACCTGGGGCGCGATCCCAGACATGCGACGTCTTGATTGTTGTTCAATACGCGGTCTCCTAGAGTCCCGACCCCTTCTTCAGGACCTGTTTGTCTTCCCGAGTAGTTGTCGATGGCCCCAAGGCCTGGCGAGGGCCCCCAGAGGCCGAAAACAGCAGTATCAACAACAACAACAACAACAACATCATCAACAACAACACCAACCACAACCACAACGACAACAACAACAATAATTTTCAGATTGTTCGCTCTTACTGGCACGCGTATCTTGCATTCCGTATACCCCAACCCTCGATACCCGCCCACTTCGTTTTCGATTGCACCCCGTTTCGGGGGGAATCTCTTCCTTGTCGGCCACTGACTGAAGTGCGAGGAAGTCTCGAGCGAGAGCGCCGTTCCTAAGTTCGGGGGCCTCTGGCCAGGGGCTCTCGGAGTACCGATCGAGAAATATCGACCGGGAGCCCTTTGTCGCCGTGTACGGGTCTCCACCAACTTGCCTGAATTATGAGAAAGTCTCGAGCGAGAGCGCCGTTCCTGAGTTCGGGGGCCTTCTTGGCCAGGGGCTCTCGGAGTAAATCGTGAGGAAGTATCGAGCAGGAGCCCTTGTCGTCGTGGCTTGGCCTCCGCTAACTTGATTGACTTGCGAGGAAGTCTCGAGCGAGAGCGCCGTTCCTGAGTTCGGGGGGCCTCTCTGGCCAGGGTGTCTCGGGGTAAATTGTGAGGAAGTATCGAGCGGGAGCCGTTGTTGTGTAGCTGGGCCTCCAAGGGCCCACATTCAGGCTCAAGCCAACACTCGAGCGGGAGCTTCGTTTTCAGAGAAAATATAGCCGGCGCCGAGGCGAGAGCGCGCGGAACCATTTCCGGAGATCAACAATAGTTTTTCCTTCGAAATTAGCATTCAACAACAACAACAACGACAACAACAACATTGTTGTTGTTGTCGTCGTTGTCGTTGTCGTTGTCGTTGTCGTTGTTATTGTTGTTGGTGGTGTTGTTGTTTCACAACAACACCAACATGCCGTCGTATTTGTCGACGACGCGAGCCTGTCTGGGTCCCACGCAGGGTCCTCCCACGCAGGTCGCCAGGGAGCCCACCGCCGGCGGCGCTGAGGTCGGTGACGCCCCCACCTGGGGGCAGGTCGCGGTCGCCCGCGGCCAGGAGGCGGGAGCTTCTGTGCTCTCTTCTGCGCTGGTGGTCTGGCCGCTCCTTTCGCCATCGCGTGTCTAGGCCTCCCAGATGGGGTCCGAGTTCCCAGACATGTTCGCGCCATAAAAAAAAACTCGGCAGAAGGCTTTTTGCAGTTGTCGGCCTTCGGGAGCCCTTGCCGGGCCTTGGGACCATCAAAAATTGCTGGGGATTAAAAATGGGCCTTGGGTAAAGGGTCGGGACTTCGGGGGCCGCATATTGAAAAAGTCTGGACATGGCATGTCTGGGTAGAAGTGGTCGGAGGATCGCGCCGCATCGCCGATGCATCGGCGAGGCGGCTCAATGGGCAGCCCGACCCTTTCTCCACGTCGGTGACGACGATGCATCGCCGATGCGCGTCACAGTATCGAGACGGCCGATGTTTCTCTGCCTTCGGCCTCTGGGACCAGTTTCGGGCCCTGGGACCGTCAAAAAATCAACTCGGGACAAAAGAACAGCCTTGGAGAAGTGGTCGATAGGTCTGGGGGTCCGTGTCTAGGAAAAAATCGAGACGCAGGATGCCCAGGTACATGTGAGTTTGGCCCTTCGCCGGAGTTGCCTTTGGTGCGCGGCGTTCTGGTGGTACGGGGGGGGGGGGAGGGGGCCCGAGCCCAAGCACACAAGCCGCTGCTGTCGCATCGCACACAACGATCGGCAAGCCACGCGCCAAAGGTCACTTTTGCCCAGGGTCGCTCTTGCGTATAGCCGCCCATAGGGTTTCTTTGGCCCTACCTGGCAAACTAAATTGCTCGAGCCTCGCGCTTTTCTCAGTTTCTGTTTCTACGGGCCGGTTCGGGCTCTGGGGCCATCAAGAATGGATCCAGGAGCCCGCGGATTACTTGGGGCCCCTTGCCACCTTAGCGCTTCTTGGGGTCATCGTCATCATCGTCCTGTCATCGTCGATTCGGACTCTGGAGCGGCGTTTCCTGAGAGCCTCGTCGTCACGGCCGAACGCAGCCCGAAAAATTGAGTTAGGAGGCGAGCCGCAGGTTTATGCGTTGGTGCGTGCCTGGCACGGCCGCTCCTCCGAGTGCCGGCATTGCTCCTTGGAGATGGGCCAGGAAGGCGAGCACTCGGAGAGAGAGGTGCAGATAGCGATGCCCTTCCCTCTGTTTGGCCGTTGGGGGCATCTCCTGGGGGCCCTCGTCGCCACGGCTGGACGGAATCTTGGTTCAAGTATGCCCCTAGAGAGATTTGGAGCGTAGTGCGTAGTGGTATCTCCCGCGCAACGCTTCTTGGGGTTGTGTTGGGAGAGCGGGCATGGGACACCACGTCGTCGACTTCTCCGTTTCGTTTTTTTTCGTTTCTGCTGGTGTCCGTGACCATGGCTGGATGCGGCTCGGAAAATTGACCAGGACGGACGCCAGGAGGGGTCCAGGAACCGATGTTGGTTGGGTTCTGGTTAGACGACGGCGACGACCTTCTGCCTTTTTGGGCACACTGGAGACGTTGCCTTTTTACCTTGGGATTCCTTCATCGTCTGCTTGTTTGGCAAGGAGACTCTGTGCCTCCACGTCCTAGCCACGCGTGTTCGAGGGAATAGTCGCATCCCGGAGCTGGTTGGGACGTTCAAATTGGATTCTAATCGTGAACGTGAGTTCCACCCCCATCTATCATTCCTTCCCCTATCCTTCATCCTCCATGGAACGAGTCTTCATCCCCTCGCCCCACCGACCGGTGGGGCCAGGGGGGAACGAGAAAGGAGGGGAGCAGAGGGACCATGATGATGATGATGATGATGATGATGATGATGATGAGGAGGAGGAGGAGGAGGAGGAGGGAGGAGGAGGAGGAGGAGAGGAGGAGGATGAGGATGAGGATGAGGATGAGGATGAGAGGATGAGGATGAGGATGAGGATGAGGATGAGGATGAGGAGGATGAGGATGAGGATGAGGATGAGGATGAGGATGAGGATGAGGATGAGGATGATGATGAGGATGATGATGATGATGATGATGATGATGATGATGATGATGATGATGGTGGTGGTGGTGGTGGTGGTGGTGGTGGTGGTGGTGGTTGGTGGTGGTGGTGGTGGTGGTGGTGAGGAGGAGGAGGAGGCTGAACACTCCAATTGACAGAGGCGGGAGACTGTCGCCGCGTCGGAAGAGAGGCGGCAGCGCTTGTATCGTGTCTCGCCCCCTACAGTATTCTCAAGGCTGAACTGCCCATGGTGCGACATGGAACCAGAGTCGCCCATGAGACAGAGGAGCGGGACCCAGACCCCTGACGTCTGGCTGTCAGGGGCCGGTTTTCCGTCCCAGTCGTTCTTCTAGTGCATTGCGGTTGAGAGAAAGAAGGCCTCCAGAGGCCAAGATATGCGGGAAGCAAGTTCAGCGAAACGCCTTCGATCAGGGGGGGAAATGCACCCCCGACATCGAATATTGGCGTTTACTAAACGGCCCTGGGCGTATACTGAAATGCCCTTCACTGTTCGATTCCTTCCCTGGGTGCGTTTACGAAAGTGCTTCGCTCGTTGGGGTGCTTTTTAGGAGGGCCGATCTTCTAAACCCTATTCGAGACGTTGGAGGTCTGGAGGCGGAGCTCCTCCTCTCAGGAGGGAAACACTCACAGATATAAACGATCGGCGGTTCTCATGAAAAAATTGAAGATAGGGGAAGTGGAGGGGAAGACGAACATCCAGGCAATATGGAAAAGATTGGACATCCTGGGATTTGTGTCTATTTGTTTGTGTGTGTGTCCCTGGGCCCCTTCAATACAGTAGGCGCACGAAATAAGAAGCCAGCCTCCCGGCAGGTCGCCCACGGAAATGTCTTGTCCCACGATGGCTCCAGGGACCCACAGAAGCCCAGTGGCAGCTTAGGAAGTGCTGGACAAACGAAGAACGCGCCCCTAGATCCCATACAGCACGATTTCTTGTCGTATGCACCTGCTGTGCCAGGTCGAACCAACCACCCACCTTGCTTGGTAGTTTGTAGTCCCCTATCTGGCGGCCAGTTCGATATGGGTGGGTATCCGGTATCCGGGGGTGCCTCAGAGCGGCGGGGACAGACTTCAGCGTCTGGCTCCATCCCGAAACTGCAGGAAAACCACGGCGGGCGCGAGCGGACGCGTCGACCCGTCCCAGACCACCTCGACAGATGCCGGAGTCAGCGCTCCAGGGGGACGCGCCTCGATTTCGGGCAGATCCGTGGGGGGACCCTGGAGGGGCCAAGACCAGCGGTTCAAAGATAGGACCTCAAGGGATGGCTCGGACGGGGCCAGGACGATAATAAGTCAGTTCCAGAGCGTTCCGGCACGCTCTCAGAGCGTTCGGGAGCGTTCTGAGAAGGTCGCGGCGCCCGAGACATCCTCCAGAACCGCCAGATCTCAAAGATTCTCGATGTATCCTCATCCGATGTTATCCTCGTCTTGGTTTCATCACAATGGGGCCCTTAGGGCTGGAAGTGGATCACGAGCTTAAACCTTCACCGTTTGGGGTTCTCGTCCTCAGGGCCCCAGTCCTCAGGGCCCCATCTCTGAACCGCCGAGAGGAGGACCTTGCGGTGTTCTCCGCCGTGCGCCGCCCCGGGCACACGCTGACATGGATCAGGGATCCGTCTATCTGGCGCGTAGGCGCTAGATCCACTCGATACGGTCGAGATGGGTGCGATCGAAATGGATACGAAGGCCGGCAGCAGTTCCTGTCCATTTTGAACCGGGTTCGTTGTCGGCGTCGCTGCCGACGTTGGCCATTTGAGACAGAAGGCCGCCTGCCCAACAGCAGCCGCTGTTGTCGGTTTGGACTACATGTGTTGTTGGGCATCGTCGGTACTGGGCGTCCAGAATGGAGCGGGGAAGGCATACCCCCCGAAAAGTAAGACCAGTGCCGACCGATTTGGCGACGGAGCGCGCCGATTCTGTACGGAGGCGGGGCCCGTCGCAAATCCGCGCGTCGCCAGTCCACGTTTGCACGTCCTCGAGCCGCCATCCCCCCTTCCCGAGCGCTGTCGACGCCGAGCATGTTGCTCCCCCCGCGCGCTCGCGCGCCTTCCGCCCTCTCGCCCCTCCCTGCAGGGGAGCATAAAAAACTTTGAGCAGAGCAGAGAGAACGGCAGCCGGTTTGTCAGGTATTGTTTCGCCGATCGGCGCAGGCCCCAGGCCCCCTACCGTCCCCCGCCCCCGTAGACGCTTTTGGCCACTGGTCAGGACCCCCCACTCCCAGCCTGCTTGCGCGATTGGCGAAAGCAGAGCGACTCAGCACCTGCCCAGACCCAGACACCCTTGCCCCACCCTTCGGCACAATGTCGAAACGCAGAATAAAGATTCGCTCACAAAAAGGAGGGAGGCAGCGGCGCAGCGGGAGCGAGGGAGGGAAGGAGGAGGGAAGATGGATAGAGAGAGAGAGAGAGAAAAAAAAAAAAGAGACGGGACAGGAGGAGAAGAACACGCGGAGGGAGGGGAGGCGAGGCAAAAGGGAAGCGACCTGGAGGAGGCAGTCTGCCGCCAGAACGTGTCCACATCCATCCCCTCGGGTTCGTGCCCTGGGATCTCGCGTGGCAGTGGATGTGGATATCTGCCCACCCGCACGGGCGGGGAGATATCTCCGCAGCCACGGCTCCCCGCAGGCCCCCAGACATGGCCCCCCGGCCGTGGGCACAGACAGCTTCTGGGCCGGGCGCAGACGGAGCCCAACCCCCCCACAACCCCACTTGCATTCCGCCGCCAGTGGCTCGGCGCCGGCGCCCCGCCACCGCAAGAGGCGGCCCTCCCACGCCTCCTCTGCCCGCGCGCCGGGCGCAGGGACCTCCAGCCTGCTGCGCTCAGGGCAACGATGAGGAGGAGGGAGCCCAGGGGGCGGCGCATCGACCCGCAATCGCCCACCTACCTACCGTCGATAGGGGTCTGATAGCCCCACCCCGCCCAGGACCGTGCGGATTCGCTCTCGGGGACATATCGCCAATCTACCGGCGATGTACCGCCGATTCCAGGTCGATGCCTCCCCCCTAAAGCCCGCCCCCCCCCCAGGCGGTGCCTTTCAGTCGCTGGGGCAGCTCCAGATCTCAAGCAGTGGCGAAGCGTCCTGACCTGAATACAGGCCCACCAAAGAAGGAATGTACTGAGAGCCCTGCACGAAATCCTCTTGGGACCTATCTGGCTGAGACAGTATTGTTTAGATCCATCGGTCGCACGTTCTATGAACATTGTAACACTGCTTTTGTTCGTTCACCGCCCGCCTCCGTAGCCATTTTGGCTCAAGTCCGTAGCCAGTCGGCTCTGGACCTGACCACACTGGCGTGGGGGAAGTCTGCGGCCCCCAACAGTGACACCTCACGGCCAGGCAGGTGAGGGATTTCGGCAGGCTCCTTTGGAGCCAAGTTATCACGACTACTTTCAAGCGCCATACCTTACACGGCGCCCGCGAGCCATGGCGGATGAGCAGCTTCGTCGCCAGCCGTGGGTGCAGAGGCCCCAGTATCCCTGGCGGACAGCGGGCTACGCGTGGGGTGGGCGCCAGGTGTATCGCAAGAAGATCTTCTGCACCGAGTGCCCCCGCTACCTCTTCGAGGACAGGATGCAGGCGGCCAACTACACATGCCTGTGCGGGGCATGGCTGCCGAGCCACGGTGGCGGGAGGCAGGGCCGCGGCCAGCCGCACGAGGGTGATGCAGGAGGTGTGCAGACGCAGCGCCAAGCATCTTACCTCGAGGCGGCGCTCCGAGCCATGGCTGGCGATGGCAAGGACGCACCCACCAGCCGCAAGGCGGAGGAGCTGCTGCAGCTGCTGGCGCCCAAGCAGCCGCCCCCACCGCCCGAGCGCCCAGCGGCGCTTCTGCAGCGGGCCAACACGCGGGTCGGCAGGGCTACAAAGGCGCTGGAGAAGACTCGCCAGCGTTGGATCCGCTCGAAGGACGAGTACATGGCGGCACAGAAGGCTTTGGAGGAAGCCACCGAGGAGCTGGTGGCTGCAGAGCGAGATGAGGTGGAGGCCGCCAGGCGAGTCATCCCCGAGCGGGAGGACGAGGAACAGAGCCCCGTCATTGATGTGGGCACGGCCATTCGGGATGGCATCAAGTTGCAGTTCTCTTTCGGCAGGCTCCTCGACGGCATGGAGCTGCAAGAGTCGGACCGCAAAATTGTGGAGGAGCGCTCGGAGGCCGTCAATTCGCTGCTCCAGAAGGCGATTCGCGAGGCGATGGGCGGCCTCACCGCGGACCTCGAGAACATCCAGAAGGAGATGGCCGAGGTCGCGGCCAGAGGCACCAAGAAGCGCAAGACGGAGGATCAGCCTGGCGCAGGCGTTTTTGTACCTCCTCGTGCTTCTCAGCAGCCTGCTGGCAGCCAGGCCCCAGCCCCAGGCGAGTCGCAGCCAGTTGGTGCAGGTGCACAGAACGAGGCACCTGCCAACGTGGCGCCGCCCAGGGCCGACGGAGATGCGCCCGCCGCGGAGCTGGCTGCCAAGCGGGAGGCCCTACAGCAGGAGGCGGATGCCGAGATTCAGCGGGTACGGCAACGGGTCCAGCAGTCTCTTTGACGACACAAGGGAGACGGCGAGGGACTACACCCTGTATATGCGCAACCTCTCCAAGTTCGGTCCCACGGCACGGCACCTCCTCCAGAGGCGGGAGCACGATTTTTACGTCCTGCCAGAGGTGCACACGCGCCCAGATGAGGCAGATGAGCATCTAGCGACATGGGCACAGGCAGGTTTCAAGCCAGTGCTCACCCCCAGTAGAGCAAATGAAGTCAGTACTAGGCCAGGCGGAGTGTCCGCAGGCTGCAGGAAAGTTTTTCAGTTCGAATCCTTTCGCCACTTGTCCAGGGATCCCAGTGCGACGGTAGGACTCAGAGATCTCCAGAAGGACCAGCAACAGCTCTCCAGTGGAGTAGATTTCCACGATTTTGTAGGTTTTCAGACAAAGGTGGCAGGACAGGCTTTCAGCATTTTCGGGATCTATCTCACGACAGGAGTCGGCCTGCGAGGCGAGAACGCCCGCAAGCTCGCATCTCTAGGAGCTCTACTGCAGACGTTGCGCACACCTTGGCTAGTTATCGGAGACTGGAACTGCGAGCCAGAAGAACTCCAAGTGAGTGGATGGCCGCATCTGGTCGCAGGCGAACTCAGAGTTCCGAGTAATGTAGAGTACACTTGCACGGTGCCGCCTTGTCGCATGCTTGATTTCTTAGTTTGCTCGTCCTCAGCAAGGCACATGATCAGCTCAGTGCTAGCAGACACGGAACCCATCGCTGGCGCTGGCAAGAGCCACTATGGTTTGGTCGTAAGCTTGAGGCTACGCATGTCAGAGTCAGTGCGCCGAGTTTTAAGCCTACCCAGGCCTTTTCAGCAACCGCCAGCCATGAAACGTGCCCGCGACCCGACGAGCAAGCGCTCAAGGAAGGCAGCAGCGGCTAGGGCACAGCAAGGCAGCGCGAGCGACAGGGCAACTCCTATGCCACGCAACCAGCCCAGACAGAAGATCACGTTTAAGAGCCCGCCGACGCTGGAGTATTTATGCCCAGACGATTTTGAGGAGGAGGATTTTGGAGGTACGGACGGTTGGTTGGACGGTGGAGGTGAGGAAGACGACGAGGCGCCTCCAGTAGGCTCAGCGCAGCCTGAGGCCAACGATTTTAAGCATACGCTCCACCAGCTGTCTGCCGTCCAGTTAGACAGTCTGTGGCAAGGGCTACAGACAAGTCTGCACTTGGACAACTTCTCGCAGCCTCCCAAGTATATAGCAGAGTCTTCAGCTTTCCAACTAGATCGGGCGTCGTCTGTAGCTGGAGGCATGGAGTACGCCCGATGGGTATCCAGAATGGAAGAATTCTTCATCCTGACACACGGGATCCCGCCGCAAAAGCGAAACGCTTATCGCGGACGAGGACAGGCCAGCAAGCTAGTTTTCAAGCCAGAAGCGCAGGGAGCAACGTTTGTTTCAGCGTCAGATCCGGTCGCGCACTGGTGGGCCACAGTCGCGTTTCTTTTAGAAGAACTCGGAAGCTGCCTGCCCAAGAGAGGTTCGCGATTCGACACGCTCCTGACCAGAGTGCGCGAGCTCGTGAGCCAGCTCCCCTCCTCGTCCCTCATGCCTCTTCCTTCTCGGCAGTGGGGAGTCTGGAAGGAGGGACTTGGCCACCTCGACAAAGCGTCTGACGGAGAGATCGCGGATTTCAGTCTCAGGGCAAGGCAAAACGCGACCAGGGCGCACCGAGTTTTGCAGAGTGTGAACCAGCAAGGTTTTAAGGATTGGGTTCTGCAACAAGCCCTGGCGGGAGGCAAGGGTCTTTATAGGATGATCAAACCCAAGAATGTTTTCGTAGGGGAAGTGAGGTCAGGCACGACCTCAGCGCCAGACGCCATCAGCCGTATCAGCCTCAAGGAAAAGGTGTGGGGCGCCAAGTGGGGGGCGGGCACCCCATGCACTCCAGAGGCTGTTCTTTTGTGGCGACAGGCGCAGAGGCAGGCCATTTTGAACCCACTCCCACCATTGGACCCTGAGCACGTTCAGAGAGTAATAGCACGAGTGCCATGTCGGGCGAATGGAGTTGATCAGTGCAACAAGCGAGATTTTGCCTTTCTGCCCCCAGCGGGGATCCGCCAGCTTACAGAACTATTTAATTTCATCGAAGCGCATGCTTGCTGGCCATGGCAGCTTATGACGGTGTTAGTCATGTTGCAAGTCAAGAACAGAGAGGCCGACAGGGCCATAGGTCTACTGCCGTGGCTACCCCGCCTTTGGGGCAGACTCCGCCACTTTGAAAGGGCACAGTGGTGTGCGCAGAGAGCGGGGCATTGGGACACGGCCATTGCGGGCTCATCGGCGTTGCGTGTTGCTGTTTGGAGAGCGTTCCAGGACGAGCTAGCAGAGCAGTCATGCCTCCCAGACCTCGAGCACGCCAGCCTGCTTTGGGATGTTCAAGGTTTTTATGACTCCCTGAGGTGGGAGCTCGTAGCTTCGAAGGCACTTGCTTTAGGTTTCCCAGCGATCTATCTGGCGCTGGAGCTTCAGATGCATATGTCGCCGAGGTTCTTGAGAGAGGAAGGATGTTTCTCAGAAGCTATACAACCCAGTCTGTCTCTGATTCCAGGCTCAACAGGAGCTGTAGATCTAGGTAGGTGTGCCCTGTATTTTGTCTGCGAAGAAGTGGCCAGATGCCCACCTCCTTCTCCCAGTTTGCACACATGGGTCGACGACATAGTGCAGCGTTGTGAAGCGCCCAGGCAGAGATTAGTGGAGACGCTGTTTCGTGCGGGCCAGCAGCTAGTGGCAGGCCTGCGCGACATCCACCTGGCTACAGCGGCCAAGTCATGCATCATCTCTTCATCGCCAGTAGCAGCTCGAGAGTTATCCCAGCGGTTTAAAGACGCCAACATCAGCATTCAGGTGAAGCCGAATGCACCAGATTTGGGACTTGATAGGGGCAGGATTTCAAAGAGCAGGCCAAAGCAAGCAGCGAGGCGCGCAGCAGCAGGTTTTAAGATTCGCAAGTTATCAAGGTTTGCGCGTGGAGCGCGCAAACATCGGGAGCTGTCCAAGAGAATGATTTCGGTCTCGGCGTTCGCTCAGTCTCGTTACTCGGATCAAGTGTATGGGACAGCTCCCAGTGTAGTAACGCGGTGGAGACGGGCATTGGCAGACCTGTCGAGCAGGAAGAAGCACGGCAGATGCCTAACCACGCTCCTCGCGCTGCAATATGGGACACAGGACCCAGCCTACACAGCGGTCTTTGATGTAGTTAAGATGTGGTTTTCTATCTTAG